TGAAGTTTTTTTTTTTTTTAAATGAGTAGTGGATATAAAATAATATTAAATTAAGCAAAGTTAAAGTTATAAAGAAAAAAGCAACAGAAACAACATAATGGGAAGCTTCTAACATACCACTTTTCATCAGTGATAGATCAAAGAAAATAAAATATAAAAACAAAAGAGCTGTACAATATAATTTATAAAGTAGAGCTAAAAGATAAATAGCAAGCTTTACATTCTACAAGAAACATACCTGTTAGTCTATTCAACAAATATTTAATCACTTATCTCATTGTTATCCTTATCTTTTAGAATAGTGTTTTGCATACAGCATGCATACAATACATGTATCTGCTAAAATAGTAGGTAAAGAGTATACTTTTCCACGATTGTATACTAGTAGGATTCTTGGACACATTTGGTAACATACTAGGCTTTAATGAAAATGCAAAGCAAAACTTGAATTTTAAAAAAAAAAATGTAGAATTTAAGATTAAAAACTTTGAGGTCTGCATGCTGAATGAAAAATAAAATTTGGGATTTAGTTTAGGTCTCTTCTTCAAAGAATTGGCTCAATATGTGGATATGGTCAAAAGCCTGACTAAAATACCTGCTCCATAAGACTAAAATTGAAAAAAAAAAATAATAAAATAGTTCATCTTTATATAAAATACATTATGATATATGTTTTTTTAAATGTTGGCCATAATACTTGTTACTGTACTTCAAAAAGATACAGTGAACACACAATATATTAAACACTGTACATCATGAACACAAGGAAGTCCAGAAAAGGCAAGAAAATGATTACAGGATAACCTGAGAACATGATTATTGGGAGAGACTAAACAAGACAAGGATTTTTCAGACTGCAAAATAATTATAAATGGAATTAGTGAACTAAATACAGATTTAGGTATTAGATTCTAAAATAGTCAAGAGACACAATTTGGAACTGAAATGTAGTAGATTCACAAAATATTAAGTGCCAGGTGAGAGTTAAAGATTATCTGGTCAAATTTTTTTTTTTTTTTTTTGTACTACAAATAAAGAATGGATTTCAACAAATGGTGCTTGGTACATTGGGTATTCATGTACAAAAAAATGAAGTTGGCCCATCTGGTGGGGCTCAGTGATAGACCATTGACCTTTGAACCAGACCATAGTTCAATTCCAGATTGGAGTCTCAGTCCCCATAGGGGACATGCAGGAGGCAGCTGGTCAGTGGTTCTCTCTCCTCATTGATGTTTCTCTCTCTCTTCCTCTCTGAAATCAATTTTAAAAATATTAATTTTTAAAATTTTTTAAGAAGAATGAAGGTGGATCCTTACCTCATATCATATATAAAAACAACTCAAAGTAAGTCAAAAACCTAAAATTAATGGAAGAGAACATAAGGGAAAAACTTCATGACATTAGATTTAATATCATAAATGATTTCTTGGATTTGTCACCCAAAGTACAGGTGAAAAAGAAAAAAAATTGGACCATATCAAAATAAAAATTTTTCCTGCATCAAAGGATAAAATCAACAGAGTGAAAAGATAACACACAGAATGAGAGAAAATATTTGCAAATTATGTATCTTATAACAGGTTAATATCCAGAATATATAAAGAATTACTACAACTCAACAACAAAAATAAACCACCTGGTTAAAAAATGGGCAGAGAATTTGAATAAACATTTCTCCAAAAAGATATATAAATGGTTAATAACCACAGGGAGAAGATGAGCAAAATAGCTGTCATTAGGGAAATGCAAATCAAAACACAGTGAAATACCATTTCACACCCATTAGAATGGCTTCATTTAAAAAAAGGGGTGGATTGAGGTTGAATAGGGAATAAAGGGGGATAAATGGTGGTGGAAGAAGAGTTGACTTGGGGTGGTGAACACACAATATATTAAACAGATAATGTATTCTCTACTTGTACACCTGAAATCTGTGTAATTTTATTAACCAGCTAGAGGCCCGGTGCACAAAATTTGTGCACGAGATGGGGGTTACCCTCAGCCCAGCCCTCTTGCAATCCAGAACCCCTCTGGGGATGTCCAACTGCCAGTTTAGGCCCAGTTCCACATGGGGCCTAAATCGGCAGTTGGACATCCCTCTGGCAATACAGGACCCCTGGCTCCTAACCATTTACCTGCCTGCCTGCCTGATTGCCCTTAACTGCCTCTGCCTTGGCCCTTGCCCATTGTAGCTTTGTCCAAAAGGATGTCCAGATGTCCGGAAGGTTGTTCAGCTGTCCGGTCTAATTAGCATTTATCCTTTTATTAGTATAGATGTCACTCCAATAAAATCAATTTAAAAATGAAAAATAAGTTTTGGTGATAAGTGGACAAATTTGAACCCATGTGCACTGCTGATGGAAATATAGTTTAGCTACTAGGGAAAACAATATGGCAAATCCTCAAAATATTAAGCATAGAATTACCAAATGATTTAATAATTCCACTTCTTGGTATATACCCCAAAGAATTAAAAGCAGGGACTTGAAGAGACATTTGTACATCCATGTTAATAACAGCATTATTCACAATAGCCAGGGGGTGGAAACAACCCAGATGTCCATCAGTGGATGAGTGGATCAACAAAATGTGGTGTATACATACAATAGAATACTATTCAACCTTAAAAATAAAGGAAATTCTGACACATTCTAAAAGTAGACCTTGAGGACAGCATGCTAAGTAAAATAAGCCAATCACAAAGGGACAATTATTGTATAATTCCATTTACGTAAGTATTTAGAAATCATAGAGACAGAAAGAATGGTAGTTGCCAGGGACTGCAGGGAGGGGGAAGTGTTTAATGGGGAGAAAGTGTCAGTTTTGCAAGATGAAGAGAGTTCTGTGGGTGAATTGTGGTGATGACAGCACAGTAGCATGAATTTACTTAACGGTTAAGTGAATTTATTTATTGGTTACTTAAATAATTAAGGTGAAAAAGTTCTATTATGTGTATTCTATGACAATTAATAAAAGAATAGAACTTTCCTTTTCTTCCATCAAAACCTGCTTCTCTTCTTCAGTTCCTATTTCTATGAGTTTCACCCTTCTACTTCCAGCTATGGAGACCAGAAAGCTGGCCTTATCCTAGGCATCACCTGCTTCTTCCCCCAGTTATGTGGTCACTCAACAAACTGTCCTGGTCATTCTCCTTGCCTCTGAGTCCATTCCAAGCACCATCTCTCTGTTTCAGGATACCTTCACCTCTCTCCAAAATTCCCCCAGCAACCCCCTTCCTCATCTTTGCAACAAAAGTGCTCTTTCTTTAAAAAGTGGAAATCTGTAATGTTCCCTCCTCTTTCTATGTCAATTCAGGGCTCTTTGTTGCTATCAATATAAAGCTCAAAGTCCTTAACTTGACTTAGAACATCCATTAGCGTTTGGTTCCTCATTACTCGATAACCTTAACTCTCAGTTTTCTGCTACCTTCTATTCACTGACCATTCTGAAAACTTTCAGTTCTGGACCTTACCAGGCTCTGCCCCCCTCTGGCCTTTACACACACTGTTCCATCACCTTTCAGTGCTGCTGACCCTCCCCACTTCCACCAGGAACGCCTCTGCCAAGCCAATTTCCATTATTTACTCTAGGTTCTAGTCTGAACAGGTCCTTTCTATTTCAGGAAGACTTCTCTGAGCCAAGTCTGCCTTAGGTGGCCCTCCTGGGGTGACCTCATACTTCCATCATCAAGCCCATTTGCATTGTGATGGCCTATTTATCTGCCTGTTCTGCCTTTATTGACACCGGGGAGCTGGATTCAGTAAATCATTAATAAATGAGTTAATAAATAGGTCCAGAGAAGCTGTTGTTCACTCACAGTTACACATCGAGGTCAGTGCTGTGCCAGCGGTGGAACTAGTAGTAGAATTAAAACACCAGACACTCTCCATGCAGTGTTCTTCCCTCTGCTGTGTCACATGAAGGTGATAAACTCGTGAAACTCACTACCCCCAAAGGGGCTGACACAATCTCGAGCAGCCCAGCCACACTCATCCAAAGAGAAGTTGAGATATACACAAATTTTAAGTGTGACCTTGTTCCTGTCTTCCTGCTATCCTTCCACTGGGTCTCAGACAGCTGAGGTCTGCAATAGACAGCAACCAGAACTGACCAGATATGGTAAGGTCTAGTTCCATCAACCAACTTTTGCCAATATTAAAAAACTTGCTTTTTATAGCCTATCTTTAGATATGGCACATATAATGTAACTCAAAGGCACACTCTATATCAACTATGTACCAGACAGTGAAATTTGGCTTTGTATTAAAACTTTGCCCTGAAGAAATCCAGTATGGGTTGAAAAGATAATGTTTCCCATAATATACACAGAGACATATATACAGATATGAGTATATTTGTTTAGAATATAAGTCACTTAAACTAGTCAGAGTTGTTATCATTTATATGAGGAGTGATGTGGAAGGGGAAAAATAAAGTCACATCTTTTACTAAATCATATACTCCAAATATACATAAATTAAAACTATAATTTCATCTTTGGAGCTTGTGATATAATTAATCTCTCATATTTTACAGATTTATATCATTATGTCTTGCCACTGAAATGAAATTGCATTATGTATAGAGTATGAGCATATTATTTTTCACAGCTCTATAACATGGCACTGACTCAGCTGAAATCTGAAATTACTACATAGATATCATTCTAAATGTGGATTTATTGAAATAATGTTTTCAGGATCACAAGCAATGTGCATATTCTGCATAACTCCAAAATCAAGAGAAATAAAGAATTAAAACTTAATTTAGGGCTTATTCATTTAAAATAGATAGGGTTATAATTAAATCATGTTCTGTTTATTATATCCTTGACAAAGCAATATCTATTTTAACTCACTGGTCTTAAATAGTAAGTATAGCACTATTCTCAAATCATCATTTAAACGCAGACAAATATTCTAGTGTTTGCTAGTACTAATCAAAATCAAGAATACAGAATCAAGAGTATGTGTGCTTAGACTCCATGAATTGAGACATACGGTCATAAGCGGCTTTCGTAATTGCTTTTGCTGCATTCTTCTGAATATCAGGAATTGTAGAGTTTTCTGCAAATGTTAAGAGCTTCTTAAGACCGCCTGACTGTTGCATCTGCACCATGGTATCCTTATCTTCAAGGCAATTGGCTATCACTGAAAGCGCTTCTATATGAAGGTCATTCAATTCCTAACAATAAAAGCAAACACAATTTTAAAAAGTTATATAAAATAAATTTATACTTTCCAAATTTTACACAAGAGGAACTCTGGTCATTCAGAACATAGTGTAATTGATTTTGATGGGACAGAGGCCCCAGGAAACAGTTCTGCTCATTAACATAACATCACTCTCCCTGACAGTTTGCCCCAGGTTTTCTCATCTCCCTACTCCAAAGGGTTTTATAGATAAAAACAATTCCTGGAAACTTCTGGTAATGATATTCAAGTGAAGGTACTCATACAATGTTTCACCAAAAACAATGTTCAAATCTGGAGAAAAAAATTTTTGAAAAAGCAAACAGAAGCTGAAGGAAATTATATTCCTTAAAATTCCCAACTGGTAGAGAGGTGTGTGTGAGTGTGTGCTTTCCTGCCTGAGGAATCTCCCAAACCCCCATAGCAGTGGAAAACTGCAGCCTCACCTGAGCTAGAAATTTAAGACGGACATCCTTAAAGTGAGAGAAACACACAGAAAGATGCTGTGTGGAATACCACAACAGTGTTTTGATTTTCTTTAGATAAATACCCCAAAGTGGAACTGCTGAGTCATATGGTAGTTCTGTTTTTAATTTTTTGAGAAACCTCCAGGGAAATTTTAAAAATTATTTTACAACGGCCTTTATCATTACTCTGATTTAATCAAGCTGATAAAACTATGTAGCGATAAGCAAATTAGCCCACTATATTTAGTACCATGCTTAAATATAATAAAATTTTATTTTACAAATTCTTCTAAAAAATTAAAAATATTCTACAATTTTCATATTTTATAACAACATTTAAGAGAGATACATTTCCTCATATACAGTTGAACAAATGTTTTAAATACCTTAGTTTCCAGAATCTTAATAAGGTGATCCATCCCTTGATTGTCTCTTAACATTGTTCGTGACAGCTTATCATTTGTAATAACACCTAAGGTTTTGAGAGCCAACAACTGAATAATTGGATATTCTGACTTAAAAAGCTCTAATATAGGAGGGATTGCATTTAGTTCTGGAAGTGTAGTTCGACATTTAAATTCCTGCCATGAAATACAAATGATCAAATAAGTAAATTTTAAAGCAAAATATAGTCTCAATAATGGAGAATTTCAATTTTCTAACAAAGAATATTCTAAGTTATAGTTTTGAAATTTTTCATTCCAAATTCCTTTTCAAAGTAATTTATAAACGAAAATAAGCAAACCCTCATTCGACAACACCAAAATATTTATTGTAACTATGCAGACATTGCCAATAACAGGAAACAGACATATCTATGACATATACAGTATCTATTGTTTCTTTATTTTATAGCAAGTTTTTATTACCATGAATAGTATTGCAATGAAAGCTACGCGTAATGAAATTCTTTTCACATTCTCTGTCCTGTGTCAAATAGTATTTGATAAAATGAAATTATGGCATCAGTTCTTTATTATCATTATTCAAAAGGATCGTTTATGAAATGCAATGCTATTTGCAGGCCTTGTGCATGCAAATTCACATCAGGTTTAGTTCAGACACATGACCTTTATTTAAGAAATTTACAATATCAAGGGGTCATTAGAGTCTAGGCAAATTGCTCTGCATTGTCTATAATTTGGTTGTGTGATTTGGTAGGAAGGGGTTGGCTAGAGTGAACAATGGAGAAAACAAGACAAAATGCCATGAAAAGCTCCCAAGCTCTGACATTTTATGTCAAAATGTTAAAAAAAAAAAAAAAAAAAAGTATTAAGAGTGGAAAAGGCCTCACTTACAGCTTAGCTTTTCTCTAGCCATCCTTCAACTGTTAATATTCAGCTTCCTTCAGACATAAAAAATGGGTTTTGTGCTGAATTGTACCCCCCAAAATATAAATTGAAGTACTAACCTCCAGTTCCTAAAAAATGTAACCTTATTTTAACAGGTTATTGCATATATAACTAAGTTAAGGCCATAATAGCTTAGTTTTGGTTCTTAATGGTGTCCTTATAAAAATTGGTGTCTTTATAAAAAGAGAAGAAATGACAGAGGGAGAGACTGCACTGCTACCGCTGCAAACCAAGAGACACCAAGGATTGATGCCATCATCAGACGCTGGAAAGAGTCAAGGATGGGTTTTACCCAGAATCACAGAGGGAGCATGCCCCTCCTGACACCTTGATTTCAGAAATCCAGCTTCCAGCACTGTTAGAGAATAAATCCTATTGTTTGAAGCCACCCAGTATGTGGTACTTTGTTACGACAGTCCTGAGAAATTAATAACACGATTATTAACTAGTGCTTCTGTTATGAATAGTGGAGGTCTTTTCATTCCTGTATATTGATGAAAAAAAGTATATGGGAACCCAGCCAGTGTGGCTCAGCTGATTGAGCATGGTCCCCTGCACAAGAGGTCACCAGTTGGTTCCTGGTCAGGGCACATGCTGGATTTTGGGCTCCATCCCCAGTGGGAGGCATGAGGAGGCAGCCAATTGATGTTTCTCTCTCTTCAATGTCTCTCTTTAAAATTTTATCTCTCCCCCTCCTCTCTCTCTACTATCAGTAAGAACATATTTCTTAAAAATATTGCCAAAAAGAGCTGGAAAGAAACTTGGGATGTAAAACACATACACTCTTGAAGGATTCTTTTGGCCTATTGGTTAAGGTAAAGCCTTAAGTAACCAGAAAAGGGAAACAAAGCTGAGCTGTTCTCTCAGGATGCCCCTTTAGGGAGAAGCAATGGTAATACCAGTCACTACCCAGCCAAATGCAAGGGCTGCTAAGGCCACAAGTGAGTGCTTTTGCTGCATTTGGCATAAGCCTCTTGGTTTCTCTTTTTCTGTATGCTACGTCGAGACAGTTTACCCAGAACCCTCCCTCATCTTTGCTTTGCCATATCTCCCTTTCACACTCTACTGCTGGCTACTTACAGTGGTATATTTGTATTTTCAGTTGATCTAAGCTTATCAAATGTGTGTGAGAATTGTTCAGGAACCTGAGCGAGAAAGGAAGCAGAGTAGGATGTCCATAATTGCTCATAGTGTCAGGGAACTGACCTGCTGTGGGTGTAAGAGTTCAAATGTTGCCCTGGCCGGCTTGGCTCCGTGGATAGAGCATGGGCCTGTGGACTGAAGGGTCGCAGGTTTAATTCCGGTCAAGGGCATGTGCCTGGGTTGCTGGCTTGATCCCGGGGGGAGGGATGAGGGGAGCGTGAGGAGGCAGCCGATCAATGATTCTCTCTCCCTTCCTCTCTGAAATCAACAACAACAACAACAAAAATTTTTTTTTAAAGAGTTTGAATGTTGCATTGGGAGATAGGGGCAGAGGTGGGGAACAGAGGGCAAGCCAGGGTGGGGAGAAGAAGGTAGTCAGTTTCCATTACAAAAAAGAGCAGAACAGTGAGGTCACATCTTACAGTTGTGAATGATGAGTTCTGCTCAGTGTCCTCAACTCACAGGCTTTCACCAATGAATACACCTGTTCCAAAACCCTGAGACACCGAGGAGGGCGTCTCTTACACCCACTGTGCTCAGGGCACCAAGGCTAGATCAATAGGTCAAACCTAGTTAAACATGAATATTAGATTTCCCGTTTCAGAAGAAATACATTTTATCTAGTATAATCCCATCTTAATTTGTAAACCATGCCATTCTTTTAGAATTAAAAAATGCATCTCTAAAATGTCCTTTCATGGGAGACAAATACTTGCAAAAATTGAAAGGAATCTACACTAAACTTCCTTTATATCTGAATGATCACTATTAAATAGTACTAAGAAGTACTAATTGAAACTGGTGAGTTTCAAGCTTTTTCTTTTTAATAGGAAAGCAAATCCTACAATCAAGTTTTGGTCAAAATACATTTTAGGAATGAAACTTACCTGGACCAGGTTGTAAATGCACTCAATGGAGTTCTTCTTCACATCGGGGTCGGGGCTGCTCAGCAGTCTGATGAGGGGCTCTAAGCCACCGTGTTCGAATATCTGCACTTTGCTGGTATACTCTGCAGACATGTTTGCTAGGCAAAGACTAGCAAACTCGTGGATGACTACCTCTTCTGCATGTGAGAAATAAATGACATGAGTATGCTAAATACCTATCCAACCATTACTTTAAAACACGTTCTGAAAACCAAAGCTCCACAGATCTTACCTTGGCTGGAGCCCATCTTGGTTGGAGAGATTTTAACGACAACTCACAATTGTTATTTCTTAAGCAGTTTTAATAAGTAGTGTAATCAAGTGTGAAAAGTTCACCAGTCCCATTTTTTTAAAACACATATAGGATGCCAATTTACCTTCTGGCGCAAGCTGAGCAATAACAGAGTTCATGACATCTAACTCTCTCAACAGTTTTTTAACATCATCTACAATAGAAGAAAAATATTAATGTTTATTATTAATAATAATAATATGGCCATGTTTGTTGATTAGTCCCTTATGAGATAGGTTCCACTATCATTTTTACAGATAAAGAAAGTGAGGCTCAAAAGCCACACTGCAAGTAAATAGTGCGGCAGATTTCACACCCGGGCCTGCCTGACTCGCACACAAGGAGCCTGTGCTCCTTGATCACTGAGCTATTGTGCTACCTTCTACAACACTAGAAAAAATAACCATAAAACTGTAAAATGTGATTAGAACATATGCCAAAACTGGTGAGTAATTGTGCCCTACACTTGTTTAGTATATAATAGTAATTCTTTTTTTTGTTTTGTTGGAACAGTGTTTTTATTTTTATTATTTTTTTTTTAAAGAAAACTGCCTGAAGGGCACAACTTTTTTATTTTTATTTATTTATTTGTTTTTTTAATTTTATTTTTTTAAATAAATCTTTATTGTTCATATTATTACAAATGTTCCTCATTTTTTCCCCCCTTCATTGCTCTCCTCCACCAGGTTCCCACCCCACCCTCTGCCCTTTCCACACCCCCCATTGTCCTCATCCATAGGTGCACAGTTTTTGTTCAGACTCTTCCCACACTCCCCACTCCCCTTTTCCCCAAGAATCGTCAGTTCACTCCCCTTCCATACCTCTGATTCTATTATATTCACCAGTTAATATTGTTCATCAGGATTTTTAATTCCCTGGGTTTTTAGATTCACTTTTTGATAGTTGCATATTTGTTGATCATTTTTATCTATATCTTCTTCCTCTTCCTAAAGAACCCCCTTCAGCAATTCATTTAATTCTGGTTTGGTGGTGATGAACTCCTTTAGCTTGTTTTTATTAGTGAAGCTTTTTATCTGGCCTTCAATTCTGAGTGATAGCTTTGCTGGATAGATTATTTTTGGCTGTAGGTTCTTACTATTCATCACCTTGAATATTTCTTGCCATTCACATCTGGCCTGCATGGTTTCTGTTGAGAAATCAGCTGACAATCGTATGGGTGCTCCTTTATAGGTAACTGACCTGTTTTTCTCTTGCTGCTTTTAATATTCTCTCTTTGTCTTTTGCTCTTGGCATTTTAATTATGATGTGTCTTGGTGTGTTCCTCTTTGGATTCCTTTTGTTTGGGGTTCTGTGCGCTTTCTGGACTTTTAAGTCTATTTCTTTCTCCAGGTGGGGGAAGTTTTCTGTCACTATTTCTTTCAGTATGTTTTCAGTATTTTGTTCTCTCTCTTCTTCTGGGACCCCCATAATTCTGATGTTGGTTTGTTTGAAATTGTCCCAGAAGTTTCTTACACTATCTTCAACTTTCTGGATTCTCTTATCTTCTTGCTTCTGTGGAGAAGTGTCCTCTGGCTCTTTGTATTCCAAATCTTTGACTTGATTCTTGCAATCTTCCATTCTGTTTTTAGGACTCTGTATAATATTTTTTATTTCAGACAATGTATTCTTTATTTCTAGTTGATCCCTTTCCATATCCTCATAAGTCTCATTTATTTTATCGGCCCTTTCTAGGAAACTCTTGAAAAACCTTATAAGCGTGGTTTTGAACTCTATATCCAGTCTCTTCTTGTCCTCCATATCTTTTGTTTGTGATCTATTTCCTTGTTTTGGCATTTTCACAGCTTCCCTGAGTTGGTAGGGTGGCTTTGTGTGCTAAGGTGTCCTATGTGGTTCAGTGGGTCAGCCTCCCAGTTACCTGAAGTGGACAGTTTTGGTGTAGCTCTTTGTGGGCTGTGTGTGCAGTCTTGTTGTTAAGCCTTGCTTGTTGTTGGTATCACTGGGAAGCGTTGATCTCCAAGCCAATTGGCTATGAGGATCAGAAGTGTCTCAGCTAGGAGGGTTTCTGTATTCTGCTTGGATGGGGCAGAGTCTTGGGGTGGCTCAGACAAGCTTTGGTGAAACCTGAAAATTAGTTGCAGGCACGCGCACCTCTTTGGTATAGGTGCAGACAAGCTTTGGATTCCTGTCTGCCCCTCCCTAGGAGAGTCCTATTGGCAGCGAATGAGGAAGCTAGCCACTGGAAGGGCCTCCGTGCTCTGCTTAGATGGGGTGGAGTCTCGGGTGGTACAGACAAGCTTTATTCAGCCCCTCCCTACCAGGGTCTGGTTTCTGAGTCCCGCAGTAATGGCCACTGGCTTCACACACCTCCGAGAGATCTCTGCCCACTGCCTGACAGTCTGGCCTCTCCCTGTCTGGGGCTGTCTATCAGAGCAATAGGGTGGTTCTGTTTTCCTCCCACACAAGAAAGCCAGCCACACATTAGTTGTCCGCCCGCTCTGTGGGCAGGGAGTAAGCCAGCAGAGAACTCAGCCCGCCCTCTCTGTGCTCCGCAAGCAAGCCAGCAGCAAAATCGGGTAGCCGCCTTTTCGCTTGCACAGTTCTCTGCATCTTCACAGTTCCTGAGGTTCAGTGTGTCTTCTCTCTCCTTCCCAGATGGTAGAGCCTCCTCTCAGCCAGCCGTTCGGCACTTCAGGGTGATGTTTCCCCTGTTTTCCAGTTCTAAATTCAAATTTGTTGTGGTAGGCTGCATTCAGGTGTCTACCCTATGCCGCCATCTTGGTTTCTCCCTCTGAAGGGCACTACTTTTATTATTTATTTTTTTAAGATATATTTTATTGATTTTTTACAGAGAGAAAGAGAGAGGGATAGAGAGTTAGAAACATCGATGAGAGAGAAACACCGACCAGCTGCCTCCTGCACACTCCCTACTGGGGATGTGTCCGCAACCAAGGTACATGCCCTTGACTGGAATCGAACCCGGAACCCTTCAGTCAGCAGGCTGATGCTCTATGCACTGAGCCAAACTGGTTTTGGTGGGACAGTGTTTTTAAACTTGACTTTAATAAAATTTATACAGAATATGCATAAGCATTATCTTCAGCCTTTTTTATATTAATACATCTGGTTTACATTTCATTTCATTATCAAAATGCCAAAAATGCTTAATGATAAGTTCACTGATTTCTTTAAAGTTCATGTTTGTGTTATTTATATGAGCCTAACCATAGCTAGACAGGTATGGCCTTGCTTCCTTTTTGCCATCCTTAACCCCCCTTTTCTGAGAAATAGAGCATGGCTGCTACTTTTGTTTTGCAATTTTTCTTCTTGGTCAGTTATCTTTGTCTGTAAGCAAAAATTAGCATTACCAACATTTTTGAAAAGTTCACTTTGTAGCAGCCAAAGCAGATGGTTGCTGGATGAATTCTTCCACATGAATTGCTGGATATTCTTGCCCCCTTCCTTTTTTTTTGACACATTTTCCTGTGAAATTTAGGAATGTGTCTATTCTTCAATTTATCTGTTTCTGTTCAAAATTGCTAAATGAGAGCCAGCAAAATGATAGCCAGCTACATGTATGTGAATACGCCTGAAGTACAAACAAGTAATTGAACTTCTGAGAAGTGTTGTGTCCCAAGGTGGAGGAAATCATTTTATAGTGGAAACTCATTTAAAAGACACGTTATCTCCACAGGCTAAGAAATAATAGGTCATTCTAAGTGTTCCGGTGAACTGTGGAGATCTGCACCCTCTGGCAGAACCTATTGGTTATTCTCTTCTCTCACGAGCCCAGTGTGTATTGCTAGGAATGATTTTTGGGAAGGCCATAATAAAGTCTCCTCTTTTTCTGGGCTTCTAACTCTCCAGGAACATCCCCCAAAATAACTTTCCACCAAGTAAGCTTCAAAGTTTCTGCTGCAACACGGACCATGAGGTCCAGAAGGTTCAGGCTGCGTGTACTCTCTGCACCTCTGACTTCTCTGCTAGAAGGATCTGCTCCCCCACGGGAGAGGCCCCTTGCTGCCTCTGTGTGTGACACCATGTTTTGTTCTGTCAGAGGATTCTCTGTGCCATGAGATCCCTTTCCAGCTATGAATGTAGCCCAAATCTGTTCAACAACAGATCTCTTAAGTCCATTCACTAGACTAGTTCCTTATGGTTCAATGGACAATTCAGATTCACTGGCAGCTTTTGTAAATTGGTGGCATTGTTGATCAACTTATTATTCTGCTTTTTGGCAGCAGATTATTTAAAGAATCTTTTCTTGAGGCTAAATCTGCAAAAACGATAATGCGTAAGCTGTTACTTTCATCACTTTAAACACAATATGGATCTCTGTCCCCTTCTTTTTCAACAGAGGAAACTCTCAGATATGACAACTAAATAGAATTTCCAACTTGTGGTTTGGTCACATGAACATGTTCTAGTTAAACAGTGTGACACCTTCAAATTTAGTTGTTTCAGAACTGCCAGCACCTTATTTCCTGGAGTACATTCATGCAATCTGTTTTACTTGCATTCTTATTTACATTTTTTCCTTTTATTAAATTCACTGGGTGACAATAGTTAACAAAATTATACAGTTTCACATGCACAATTCTACAACACATTGCTTGAACATCTCCCATGCCATTGTAAGTTTATTCTTGTGTATGGTGTAAAAGGCAGTCTAGTTTAACTTTTTGCATGTGTCTGTCCAATTTTCCCAAACCATTTATTGAATAGATTATCATTACGCCATTGTATGTTTTTGCCTCCTTTGTCTAAGATTGACTATAAAGGTATGGGTTTATTACTGGGTTCTCTAATTCTGTTCCATTAATATGTAAATATCTGTTTGTATGCTAGTACCATGTTGTTTTGATTAACTATAGCCTTGTAGTATAGTTTGATATCAAGTAGTGTGGTTCCTAAACTTATTCTATGGTTATTTGGGGTGTTTAGTGGTTCATATCAATTTTTGGAATTTTTTTCTAATTCTGTGACATATTCCATTGGTATCTTGATAAGAATTGTGTTGAATCTATATGTTTTGGGTAGTATGGACATTTTAATCCATGAACATGGTATATGCTTCCACTTATTTGTATCTTCTTCAATTTTTTTTTCTTCAGTGTCTTATAATTTTTGAGTACAGGTCTTTTACATCCTTGATTAAATGTATTCAGAAGTATTTTATTCCTTTTGAAGAAATTA